CGAAACGACCTCAATAGTGTAGAAAATTTTATTAGTCTGCGTGTTCGCCGATCTTTGAAATGGGTACCCTTACTCATCTGCCTAATGAATCCAACGTTAGCGTTACTACTTAATGAAAACTCACGTCAGCAGCAGTGGAATTTAGTTGAGCCTCCACAACGGATAGATTGGCCTTCTCCGTGGTGATGAGGTTACGACTCTGAGTGAGTAGGTCAATAAGACTTGCGGAAACAGCGCGAGCTATGGAGAGGAGACTGACTCGTGCCTCTGTACGGGCCTCCTCACTGGCTGCAGAAACTGTGTCGAAATCAGGGCGTGATAGAAGATGGAGCGTCTTTGCATGGAGGTTGTTTACGTGGAGGAGACAGTTCTGAGCCGAAACTGCCAGCTTATCCTGATCACCAGTGGTATTGCGCGACTAAAATATTAATAAGATACGAAATGTTTTTTTTTACAAACTAAGAGGCAAGTTAGCGCTATTTTATTACCTACCAGAGCATTCGTCTCCTCTACAATCCCTTTGAGTAAATGCATAATCTCCTCCTGCGCAGCCTGGATGTCGTTAGTAACTGCTGTGGGACTGCTGCGCTCAGCAAATTGTCTGCTACTTCGATCAACAAGGGAATTGGCACGGGCAAAGTAGATGGCTGAATCGAAGTCCGCCACCTTACGGGCAATACCTTCAGCCGCATTTACACAGGCATGTACACCGTGAGCAGACTCACGCAGCACCGCTACCAGACTCGACACACGGGTCGTGAGAGAACGCAGGGACTCGGGGTGACGAGGGTTCTCCAACACTTCCACGCAACTTGTTCCAATGCTCTGGAGAAAATGGATTTAAAAACTGTCCTCAAGTGAATCAGACGTGAACAACCAAACCATGCCCAACAAATTATTACACATGAAATCTTGCACACCAAATAATGCTAGCTTTGACTAAAAATTAATAACTCAGGAATTAAGACATTGTATTGTTTACTGATAAATTGTCCTACCTAACCACTCACCTGTACAACCGTCCTAAGTCGGTCGGCCAGCCTGAAAGTGGCATCAGAGGTGTCCGACATGTTGGGCTGACTAGTAAGAAGAGAAATTAGCTGTTGTGTCGTTTCTGCAGTCTTCAAGAACTGCTGTACAAGGTGACTAGCAGCCGCCTCTTCTCCACTCGACCCTGCGGTTTTCGAGGTCTCAGAAAGCCGACCACCGGCCTGTACCAGCGTCTGAGCTTGGCTTGCCAACCATGTTTGTAATGCAACTAGACTGATCTGCTCGACAATGTGTGGTGGACTGACGCTGGTCTCCAACTGATTCAACGAAATGCGTAATTCACTTAGAAGTGAATCAAGATACAAGTTGTTTTAATGCAAGCAAACTTGAAGTACCTTTTTAAGAGCTCCCTGAATGCTAGCAATTTGTGAATTCAAATTGCCCTGACGCGCTGTAAGCTCTTCAATACAAATTAATAGCTCACGACATGCTAGACGGAGTTGATCAGCACTGGCGGATACTGGCGACGGGTCGGAGTCTGGTGGACCACCAAACTAAAACCAGTAAAGGCACTTGTACTAATAGAACATACATATTTGCCCATTTGGGTAAGGAGACGTGTTGAAAGGGCATCGGTTGTTTCCAAAACAGTACGAAGATAACTTTGAAGGGCGGCTTGATCGGAACTTCGTTTTAGCATTCCACAGGCGGATATGCACACCTATAACAACAAAGTAGTATATGTGAATTTTGAAGCCTTTTTTGAAGTAAAAAAGCATTAACAATATACATGTGCTACATTGGGAAGGTAGGAAGAAATAAGATGAGCATCCTGGCTGAGTAATTCCCATCTCGAGTGCTTCCAATCGCCGGCCATTTTTCCACTCAGAGCAGTCACTTGACGCAGGCTAGAATTTAGCAGCGGAGTCGTAGCCTCCAGATTTGACGCATTCTCCTGACTGTACTGTTGAAGACCCGCATGATCTAGTCGACGCAACAGTTCTCTAGCCGTAGATTTCAGAGATTCCAATGCCTTCCATCCCGGCCGTGAATCACTAGTAAAAAACTTCTTACTTAAGTCCAAACAGCAGCAGTTTATGCGAAGACAAGTGGGTATATTCACCAGATGCAGAAACGGAGGTCCTGTGTAGCGCATTCTAGACCTTTGCGGTGCTTTCTGTAGATCGTGTCAGATATTGTGGCCTTCAGGAGGTTTTCTGCGGTATCGGTCAAGCAACTCGCCTTTTCGACAACCGTTCGACCACGTAATAGAATTGGACCTTGTTGCTAAAATGATCAAAAGAATGAGACTGTGCTACGACACAAGTGGCTTACTGACATTGACTTACTTCAGCCGCTTCAGGTAGAACTTGAACTGGTACATCTCCAACATCCTCTAGAAGGGAATTGACCAAAATCGAGGCAGAACTCCTTAGTCGCGTGGCAATTTGGACTACTTGATCTCCAGTGGAGGGAGACCCCGGATCATCGGTATTTAACGACTTCACTAGATTTGTCGTTGTTTGAGCAACATCTTTGGCATTCTGAAGGAAAGAGAAAGCTAATTTAAGTTAGTCACTGCATAAATAAGTTAAGTTGGTGTAACAGTACTGACAGCTCACCTCAGCGAGCATCTTCTTCTCAGTAGCGTCGATACTTTCAGAAATGCACTGACGAGTTAATTGGCACATATTGCTTGATGCTCGAGTGATTTCGTTGACTGTTGGGCTCAACTGAATTCGGATGATATTTTAAGGGTAAAAATAATGCAATGCACCCAAATCGATGTATCTATTGTGTTTTTGAGTAGCAACTTCGTGCGACTCACATGACTTGCGCGTTGTTGATTGGAGGTGAAAGTGGGTGCTTCGCGCGTGATGACATCAATACCGCGTTGAAGGCACTCAACATCCTCCATAACTTGTCTTGCCTCCGATTGGGTTAATCGAGGTGCTCTACCGGGCTCGTTACAGGGTTGGCCAGCACCCACTAAGTATGCAGACTGTGTGGCCACTTGAATCATTCCCATTACGGCGTCAGCTACAGCTTGAACAGCGTCACAAAAGGCATTGGGATTACGAGACCTCGCAGACTCTTCCAAGTCATCCATTCGATTGCCAAGAGTCTACAACGCCCAATGATTGAATTGAGATCATATAAATAAAACATTTGAGCACCAACACCTACAGTACCTGAGACAGATCGTCAAATTCGTCGATGCATTCAGGGTAGGTGAGTTTTGCAACAGGATAGCTGATGAAGGGAGGGGAATCGGATCCTGCGCCCGGAGGCGGCTGTAGCCTAGTCAAAGCGGAGTCAAACTGACCTCTAACACTTTTCATAGTTTGATCCGCTGATCTCGTGGACTCGGTTTGGGGGAGAGCATCTTTGGCCAATTGCGCTTGGGTTGCCATTGTCACACCGACTGCCCAATCACGGAGCGACCTTGAGAAGGCAAAAAACATGAAGTTATCCGACGTCATCCAAATCCGTCCCATTTTGTTATGACGACTCAAATACCGCAAATTCACTCTAAATGATGATAATGGAAAATTCACCTACCTCCTTCGTATCGAAAGCTAGCATCGACCTGCTAATCTCCATCGATATCATGAAAGGCCACACTAGAGCACCAAACTTAATATTTTCGTAGAAAACCAATGCTACGTAGAAGAAATCCCATTTCAACAACAGAAACCAACTTTTGAGGCAGAAGTGATAGGAGGGTGAACAAAGGGTCGATATAACATGAATCAAGTCGTACATAGCAACTAAAATTTACCCTTTATTAAAGTAACAATAAAAAAAGGGACTACAGAGGATGATGTCGACCACTGGTAAACCGCTGATATGTTGAGGTGAAATCCCACTCACCAGAGTGAATGAGGAGATAACTCTAGCAACAGTTTTATTTGACTTTACAAGTTTCAATGATGGCGAGACTTTGAAACATTACGACAGTGGAACCCATGACGTCTAGGCCAATACGAGGAATTTCGGGAAATTGTTGGAATTCGACATGCGCTGAAAAGTGGTACAACATTCAGAATTTGGCTCAGAAATATGTCTACCAGCGTAAGTAACAAAATGTCATTCAAATGAAGGGTATTAACATACAAAGAAGTCTTTGACACAAGCATGACGTTGATGGGTGTCTGAACAACACCCTCTGAGGCCAGCGCTCGTTCCAATTCAGTCGCCAAGGGTGTGGTTAGACTTCGGAGGTCCGCTAAGATCCCATCATTAGGATTGCCAGAACAACTTCCGCGATTAAAGACATCCAATACGTCGCAGAGCGCATTAGCCAGACGATCGGCGGCCATAGCCAATGAACAAGTGGGAGAGGGAGCAGACTCGTCAGCACGACGTCGAGACATCTGTTCGCTAGCCACACGGCCCACCTCCTCACTCGCCTGCAGCAATGGAACACCAGCATGGTAAAGCAGTAAGTTTCACCAAAACTCAATGCAGAATCCTAAGTTAGTTCAGTGGGCATCGTGAAATGACAGAACAATTAAGTCAATTTAAATTGTGTAGTTTGACCTTCAAATCTTTCCCGCTTGTCACAATTAGGCCTCTGGATAGATGGCAATGAAAATTTGCCCCATTTACATTCCTAAAGCTTGGTGAATTTTGATGGCAAAGAACACGAACAGTTCAGCCCTGACCAGTCACTGGAGGCCACATAAAGGCTCCCTTAGGATGCGGAGGTTGTGCAAGAAACAAGTGTAAGTACGGTTTAAAAAATACACCGGAGTCGAGTAGTGAGGATGCCATAACAGACCTTTACGTGTCATTTTTCACTAGAAAGACATCTCCGTAACTACAGAAAGAACTATTTCCCATAGAAAAATGATACTTTTTCCCACCATTTCTACCAAGGAACCAGTGCAAATCGATCCATTATCAAGCCATTCCAAGGTAACTGACAATGAACCAATGAAGTTCATAAAAGCCTTGATGTTTGTAAAGAAGAAACAATGTATAAAAAGGTACTGTGAAGTTCTGGTACAATTTACATACCTTGTGGTTGCAATGCCATTTTCTTA